ACCACATTATTTAAAAAATAAAAATTGTAATATATAGATGTAATACCTGAAGAGAATTTAGTTTTTATTTGTATAAACTTAAGCCAATTCTTCTCTGCATTTTAGTGCAGTCAATGCTTTGGTACCTGGAAGCTGACAAACAATTTTATCACTAATTCAATTAGATGGAATTACTTCTTCTTGTAAATCTTCATTCCAAATAGCTCCTTTCCGCATATTTGATTTTGAAAAAATTACATGAACTAATATAAAATGAAGAAACTGTAATATAAGTGTACTAACAGGCCTAATTAAACTAGCTAAATTTGAACATTTTATAACAATGATACTTGCTAAACAATAATATTAGTAGACATTATAAGCAAAGATAAGATTTTCTTCATTTTATAAATTTATAATATTTTAAACTCATTTTTATTAATTTATTTATTACTCTATTATTCAGCAGAGTTCTGAATATATTATGTTCAAATAACTTAAGGCTCAATAACAAAGACAAATAATGAAAGAATACTAGGTTGCTAAAACATAAACATCTACGTAAGATAATTATGGAATATTGAAAAAAAATAGAAATACAAAAAAACAAAAATACTCATTATTAATATAAAATATAATAGTATAATTTAAGGTATATTATAATATATGACACAATAATATCGACTTTTGATTAAAATATAAAAACAACAAAAATTAAAAAAGAAAATATTTTGATAAATAATAAATTATCATTCAAACAATTTTCAAGATCAAAAAATAACTTGTAATTTATTTTTTTACTTATCTTTATCTAATAAACATTACTTATTTTTCACTCATCTTCATCTAATAAACATTAATATTAATACCAATTTTAAACATTATTAGAATTTTTTTTTTATCAAAAAATAAAAATATTACATCAGTTACTTTTTGGGCTTTTCTTATTTTACTTAAAACATCAACTCAATTCTAGACTTTTTTCATAATTGAGTTTTAATTTGTAATGTTGAATTAACACTGAAAAAAAAAAAATCAGCAGACAAAAAGAAAATATTTCTTTATTGAAACATATGTAAATATTTCAATATAGAAATTTTAGATTGATTTTAATAAATATAAATTTATATCAATCAATCTAAATTTTTTTCTTTTCCACAACCTTTTCGAAATGAAGCACATTTTTAGAAGTTAGACAAAATGCCATCAATTAAAGTTTCAGTCGTTCCATCGTATTTAATAGAAGAAGCTGTTAATAAAAAAGAATTATAAAAAAAAAAAAAAAAAAAAAAAAACACAAGGAGAAATTTTTGAATATATAAAAAATGAGAATAAAAAAGTTTTTCCTATCTTATAAAGGTATACCTTTCACTACACCATATAAATTAGTGCTCTTAAAGCATATTTCCACCTTTCCCCTTCATATTTATGGAGATCACAAAATTGTTGGAAAATATTCTAAATTTTAAAAGATAAGAGAACTGATATTAATTATGCGAGAACTAATATTAATTTTTTTTTTAAATTTAAATTGAACTCATTATCAAACAATTTTTTTGCTAAACAATTTAATCCTTAAAATTCCTGAATAATTAAAAATTATTTTAATTACCTCAGCATTTTAAAGATATTCCATCAATTGCAATTGATTCACCTAAAAAACAACAAGTAAAGCAAATATTATTGTTTGAAATTTTAATTATCTTTATATAAATACTCATCATATTTTTAAAGTAACTGATAAAAATGGATTCAATTAAAATCACTTCATTTGTATTAAAAAATTAATATTAAAGCCTTATCATACATTATACAAGAGTATTTTGTAATACAATCTAAATAATTGTTGCGATATGTAATTTTTTTATCCGAAATTTAGCTTCTGTAAGCTTTAGAAATTTTTTAAAGGAATTATTGATGAATTTGGAGCTACAGGTACTAATGTTTTTATATTGCTGTAATGTTTGTATTCATTCCCTGTTAGTTTCTGTAAGTCAAAATTTTAAGGTGATTCCATAATAAATTCTGTTATATCTAAAATTTAGTGTTAGTCTGAATAATTTACTTTCTAAAATCTGTTTTGCATTGCCTGTCTTATAACATCTTTACTTGGAACAAAAATCATGTGGTTTAAAAGTGAGCTAGAAGCTTTCAACAATGAAGAAAATATTGCATTCGCTAATCCTAAAAATATATTAAACCTGTCAGCAAATTCAGCTGTCAATAATCCAAGTATTAGTATCATTAAAAATTCATCTTTGCTGCATTACATTTATTTTGGTCCAAGTAGTTAAGGATTTTTTAAATTTCAAAAAACAGAAGTAAATGTTTTTTTTTAAATATCACTTTATCTCTTTTGATTAATGGTGATACTGCACTAACTGATGAAACACATTGACAGATGTAAGGCCAGTATAAAAGTTGCAAGATCTATTATTTTTAAAGTAAATGTTTGTATACAAGTAAATTGCAATAACACGATTTGTTTGGATTATGTTTATATACAAATTTGTCTGTTTTCATAGTAATAACTGATGTGGTTGAAGTTAATTTTTCATATAAATTTTTATTTTTTTATTTCGTGCTGAAGTTCTTTTTTAAAGTTATCAATTTTCTTTTTTAATTCTTGATGCTCTATTAAAAAACAACGCTTAGCATTAAATTCAACATAATTTAATGGATCATTTTTTAAAAAAGTTGTATTATATTTACATTTAATAATATCAGTCTTTGAGCATTGTAGCCTAAGTTAAACAAAAAATATCGATTTTTAAACGATAATGTTCTTTCAGGAAAATCGTCTGAACATGTTTTCGATCTCTTGAAAATTCTATATGGTATAAGTTCAGTAATTACATTTTTTTTCCATTAAAAATCTCTATAAGTTTAACCGTTGAAATAATGTTTACGTTCTTAATTCCATTTCTGCGCGCGCTTAAATTTTATATCGTATTTTTTGTCAACAATAATTGAAAAATGACGTTGAAATAACGTTAAATAATGAACGTTTAAACTGTAACGTTGATTTAACGTTGAAATAACGTTAAATAATCAACGTTTAAACGGTAACGTCGATTTAACGTTGTGAAATAGTTGAACAACGTTGAAACAACGCTTTAACCGAATTTCAACGTTGAAACAACGTAATAATGCCGGCTGG